AATGATATACGCCTTCATCTTAGAGGTGTGTAAATTGGCAAAGGCGATGTCCGATGCAGTAATATGCTCTGGCCCGATCCCAATGCAGTGTGGCAATGTAGCTTACAGCAGGTTATGGTCGCTGAACTGCTGGATGTCACATAAATGGCATCAAACTAAACTGGTAGTATTTCAAACAGCATGGAAGGAGATGGTAAATGTTCTGCACTTATACAGCACCTTTTAACCTTAGCAGTTCTACAAAGCACTTTACACTATTCATCAGTTTGTAGATGTAAATGGTGACTTCTCTATGCATACTAAGGTAAAGTTTGGTGTTCGACAAGGTTCTGTTTTAGGCCCACTGCTTTTTTCTTTATATACGCTACCTCTGGGTAAAATTATTCGTAAACATAGTATTAGCTTCCACTGTTATGCTGATGACACGCGGTTGTATGTTTCAGCAAAGCCAGATGAGAGACACCAGCTTAATAAATTTGAGGAATGTGTAAAGGACATTAGACACTGGATGCTTATCAACTTCCTTCTACTTAATTCTGACAAGACAGAAGTATTTGTACTAGGACCACATGCAGCTAGAAGTAAGCTTTCTGATTACATAGTAACTCTGGATGGCCGTTCTGTTTCATGGCCGTTCTGTTTGATTATTGACTCCAGTCTTTCATTTGAAGCTCATGTAGGTAATTTTACTAGGATAGCCTTCTTTCATCTCAGAAATATTGCTAAGATAAGAAATATGATGTCACTACATGATGCAGAAAAACTAGTTCATGCATTTGTTGGATTATTGTAATGCCTTACTGGCCGGATGTTCCAGTAGGTGCATAAACAAGCTCCAGTTAGTTCAGAATGCAGCAGCAGAGTCCCTACTAGAACCAGAAGATATGACCACATCACCCCAATCTTATCCACACTGCATTGGCTCTCAATCAATTTTCGCATTGTTTATAAAATACTACTATTGACCTATAAAACACTGAATGGTCTCACGCCGCAGTACCTGAGCGAACTTCAGGTCTTTTATGATCCAGCACACCTACTTTGATCAAAATGTGCAGGCTCTTTGTTGGTACCTTGAATAGTGAAGGCCTTCCACTTAGTGTTCGGGATTCAGACACAGTCTCAGTGTTTAAGTCTAGGCTGAAAACATATTTGTTTAGTCAAGCATTTTGTTAATATTTTTTTCTTAGGTAGGAGGGGAGCAGATCTGGAGAGTTCACGGGCATAGAGTGTTTTGGTGGACTGGGATGTTTGGATGCTGTCGCCTCCCACTCTTATGAGTTCACTCAGGTTTGTTGACGGTGGAGTGGCTGGCTGCTTTATGTCTCAGGGCACCCTCATGTCCTCCTGTGTTACCTTCTGGCTCTCCCTTTTAGTTATGCTGTCATAGTGAGTCTCTGCTTGCACTCTACTTTTTTTTTAATCACAATTGCACATCTGTGACCCAGATGAGGTTCCTTTTTGAGTCTGGTTCCTCTCAAGGTTTCTTCCTCATATTGTCTCAGGGAGTTTTTCCTTGCCACTGTTGCCTCTGGCTTGCTCATTAGGGATAAATTTAAAATTTATATCCAGAATTTATATTTTTCTGTAAATCTGCTTTGTGACAATATCCATTCATCAAAGAAATTTATAGTCTATTATTTTATATTCTGACATAACTCTATTCTATTCTATTCTATTCTATAATTTTATATGCAAAAAATGATCATGATAAAGCAACGAATATGCAAATAATTCTACGACGCCATCTAGCGACTTCTACCTACTTTTGACCACACGTTAGCTTCTTTCCTCTGAAAAGAGTTGGCAACATTTGGTCTACTCCACTCTGCTTTGAATCTGGCAACCCCACTCCCACTCGCTCTGCGCTTTGCCGTTGTGTGAGCAGGCGGATGTCTTTCTAGAGCTTAGTACCAAAACACTGTTTAAACTGGATTTGTTGTAAATGGGGGCAATATATACCCTTCGTTTTCAACAAAACTATCCCGTTAGCTGTTTACATTTCGACAACTAAAGTTATTTAGCGTTATTTTTTTGTGATTTTTTTTCTAGTAACGGCTGTGAAAAATTAAAATGGAGTCAGCGGTTAGCCGCTATCAAGTGGTAAGTCAGCTAGCAAAACTTACTGACCAGACATTTTAAATAATAATTACAAATAATTTAAGAATACGAATGCTATATTTGTATAGGTTTAAGGATGTTCGCCAGACTTTTACTGAGCCAAGGCCGTGTTGTTGTTTTCAGATAGCACAGCTGCTAAAGTCACTGGCTGAATCTCAAATGGATATCTAGTGCACAACGTAGGTGTGACAGCTATTATTTCGTACCCTATTTACAGCACTTACCAATAGAGCCGGCGAAGGGAAGGCTATGGAATCTTATTTATTTGTTTGTTTGTTTGTTTATTGTTTACACAGGGCGCAAAATTCCTTATTTAAAGTCCTAGGGTTAGTGTCCATGTGTAGGGTGTATAGAGCCAGTTGGGATTCGGCCAGCGCCAACTTCCGCGTTCCAGATTACACGGCCTTTTCCGTAGAGTAAAATAGTTGTAATAATAATAAATAAAATAATCAGATTAAATACCATAATTCTGTATAAATCTCTACTCTCTATGTAGTTGAATAGTGCTCTAATGAAGTGTATGTTTAATAACTTGCATGTTGAATGTTATCTTCTCATTTGGTTGTTAAATGAATGAGAATTGTGTAACAGTTGTGTAGTAGTACCGCCGGTAGCAGGGAATAGGTGTGTATAGATGTTTGTATGTATTGTTTGGAGTAGGTGTTTGTAGATGTGTGTATCATACACATAGGGGTGTATTAATGGATTGACATTAGAGTGATATAAACACATGGTATTAATATTGCAAATAAATTCCATCCCATTTATTATTTTTGCCACCTGTTTCATGTTTGATCAGTAATTAACATCTTATTGTGTATTGTGTATTGTTCTAATGTTTTAATGACTTTACGAATTGTGACCTCGTAATACAAAGCTCTAATGAGTGTTGGAGTGTGTATAGGGTTGAGAGGATCAATCGGCATTTTTTAAAATTATTATTAACAAGGGGTCCTTAGTTAAATCCTGAGCTTGGGTTAATGTTTGTGTGGAGTTTTAACGTTTTCTTCCCACATGTCAACATGGGATTCCTCCAGGTTAGGGGTTAGAGGAAACCCATAATTAATGTAATAGGATTTGAAAAGCAGGTTTTGTGGCATTTTGATGTATCGAAAATACTGTCAGTTGCATGTCTGTGAGTAATGCGGAAGTGATGTTTGTGAACAAGTTGCTCTGAGATTCTTATCAGTTTTCTGAGAAGTATTGCTGACTGACTGATAAACTGATAAACCATCAAGTCTGTCGTCATCAAATGCAAAAGTGTGATGAGGGAAATTCAGAAGTGTGTAACTCACAGACATTATACTGTTTCACAGATAAAAATAGACAGGCGAAAGCTCAAATCATTCTCACACACATACACACACACACTCACTTTAGTGCTAAGAATATCTGCGTAATTAATTCACAGCTATTGCTTCACACAAGAAGATTTGATGTGTGTGGTTCAGTATTATAGATCTTGTGTGTGTGTGTGTGCATTTGTTTATTTTACAGTTAAAATTTTATTCACTGAAAAAATACATGGTTTTTGTTGATTGAAAAACTAAATGCTAAATTAGCTAACTTTTTTTAAAATAATAAATAATATATTAAGATAGTAGAATATTAGTAATATTAATTAGAATAATATTGATCAATAGTACTTTGAGTTGTAGGAAGATTCTGTAGTTCCTCCTTCTGATATTTTTGCTTTGCTTTGTTCATTAATAATGAAATATGTCCAGATAGCTGTTGAAAAAACGACACGGTTTGACTATGAGCACAGTTACGACACATAGTCTGACTATGAGTACAAGGACAGATACCAGTATCAGTGTGGATGCAGACCAGATGATTATTTATAGGTCGTAATGTTAACCCTGAGCCTGAGATTAAATGAACTACAGAATTACAGGAAGGGAATCTCTGAAAATCCTCTCCAAGAATTATCTGGTTTTTAATATGTTTCGTATTTAATACTTTTCATGTGCTCAGTAGACCTGCAGTGGTTTTATTGGGAAGTCTCTGCAGGGATTACTGGCTTTTAAAGTGTTACGCCTTGACCTGTGCTTATGGGTTATAAAATCTTCTGCCAAATCACACACACGTTATTCTGTACTGGACCGCGGAAATGTGTTATTTCATCATTAAGTGTTGGCTATGAAGTCCTAAAGGTCAGCTTGGGTTGTGTTTCAAACTACTTGTATTACATAAACACTCAGTACACAGTACTTACCTAGGCACTGCTGAGGTTATTGACCCAGAGTGAGGTTTACTGGGGGATAGAGTGGGGTGGTATATTGCCATAGGATTGCTTTTTTTCACTGTTGCATTCTCTACAGAAAAAGGAAAATATAAAAATAGTGGAGTTTCCTCAAACCTTTTTATAGAAAGTAGTAAGCTGTAATGAGGGTGTAACAACTGCTGATGGAGGGTTGACCACATATCCCTGTGTTATCCCTGTATTATCCCTGTTTCATTACCACGGTTCTCTGGTTACGGTTCTCTCAGTGTAGTGTGATCTACACTGTTTACAAACACTATCAGCTGAGACGTCATGTGTTCCCTTGAGCCAGAAAATTCAACCTTGTATCCATATCTGTTTTACACGTCGAGCGTTCTCATTAGCAGCAGGAACATAGTACAAATCTCAAGATACAAACTTTGTAAGTGTAGCATTAAAGGAACAGCAGAGGTCTTTTAGTCCCAGTCATTGTAGTTAACTCCTAGTTAACTATTGTAGTAGACAAGCTTTGTACCCTCACGGCTTCAAAGTAGCACAGTATTTTATGAAAATGTAGAAGTAGTACACGTACGGATCCTTTAGACTCATCTTCAGATCATTTATTTTGTTTAAGCAGTTGAGGGTGGTGCACAAGGACCCAACCATGGTAGTTTAGCAGTGGTGGGATTTGAACTCACAACCTTCTGATTAATAGCCAAAAGCTTTAACCAATGAATTACCACTGCTTGGTGTTTCTCACTCAAACAGCTATCGTTGTTTTCAGTTGCACAATGAGGATGACCCCTCTGAAACAAACCTTGCCGAAGAGCCTTCCACTTCCTCCCAGGCTGCCGCAGCTAACAACCCTGTCGCCATGGCATCAGATAGCGAGGTTCCGCCCCCCTCTTACGCCAGCTTGGCGTTAGGAGCTACAGCCACTCCGGGTATGTTCTCGAAACTATTCACTATTCCAAACTTCTTTCATATAGCATTATAATACACCAAACTGTTTTGAAGCCAGGGCCTTTACCTGTAAAATAAATTTTACAGTCTCCCTCAAGTGCAAATTTATTTTATAAAAATTATTATATTTAACTGATTTTTTGAGTAACTGTGTTTTGGATTAATTTGAGTAACCCATCAAATAGGCTAATAACTATTGTGGTGTCAAGTGCTGAAGCAGGGCAGAACACAACCACACAGAGGCACAGGAGTACGTGGAATCTGGAAAAAATGGGGATAAGAGAGACAGTGTTAGTAGCATCCCAGGATCTGCATGCCATCTTTTATGCTCCCTGGTTTGCTCGGGAGAGCAGGAACAGCTGAGCTAATCATCCTCTGCCAGCCGTGTCTCTTTATCACACCCCATAGCTTCTATGCCCCCACCATGTGTACCTCGGCCATCCATAACAGTGGTGCTGAATTGGTGCTGTCCATTCAGCACTACCACACTCGTTTGGTGTGGGGTGATCTGCTCATTGTGATTGGGGTGGGATGGCCCGTCGTCATCCCACCACCCTACCCCCAACCCCCGCCATCCCGTCTCATGGGCTAGGCGCATTAGGGTACCAGTCTTGGGACAGGGTACCACCAGGAGATCCAACATTTGGCAACAATGCTCTCTCAGATAGTAGAGGAGCCCCACCCCTTTTATGAGGAAGTAGGCGGCGGGTAGGGCTCTGCTCAGGTGGGCGTGCTCCCTCTCTATCTCCAGGTATTGCTCCCACCAGTGCTTCAGCCAGTCATCCTCTTTTTGTTCTTGGCTAAATGTACCCTCCTGAGCTGCCTGTTGAGAAAGAGAAATGGAGTTATTTGGTGTGTGAGACTCTGCTGTCTGCACTGTTTTACTTCCTCCTGGGCTAGATAGATGGTACGGGTGGCTCTGCCCTCTGGAGGCCGCCTTTGGAAAACCTTTCTGGGCTTGTGGGTCTTCTGAGAGCAGGACAGAGGAGTGGAGAAGCCTGGGCAATCCCTTCCGATGAGCAGAGGCACAGGTAAGTTAGGCATTAGACCAATTAGCAGTGGCCACTAGCCTTTTTGGTTCCCCATCCGGACTTCGGCCGTGGGCACCTCTCTCACATCCCTGTGAATGCAGGAAATGATGAGGAACCCACTAGTCTGAGCAGCCCGAGGGAACACAGAAGGTCGGGCTAAGGTAACCGTGCTTCCAGTATCTAACAGAGCCTGTACAGGGGCCCCTTCCAGCCATGGGTTCACCAAGGGAGTTCCAGGTGGTGCCTTTTCATTAGGGGTCGACCGATCTTTTTTTTCCAGGACGAATACAGATTATTAGTAAGGACACTGATAACCGATATTTGGGGCTAACTTTCATTTACATGTTTGTAGTGTGAAAAGTTACAAGAATGCAACTCTTACTCACAACTTAAATGAACATAATGTCTTTAATATTAAAGCATTATAAAACATAAAATGAACATAATGTTTAATATTAGAGCATTATAAAAATAAAGTGCTTTAAACAAAAAACAATATGAAAAGTATACTGACAACAGTTGTCATTTCAAGGTGTGTGAGAGTGAGTGAGCGAACTTATATTACCAAGTGCATTGTGCTTTTTGACAACTGGATTGTACAATCTCAATATTTCTTACCTTTCCTCTCACTGCGGAAGCAAGTGCAGGCACTGTTTCATTCCAGCGTTTCTGACAAACACCAAAAAGAATGTTTGATCGGATTTACTCGACACATGGTCCACATTTCTACCAATCCAGTAGTGTTATGGGTGGGACATAGAGATAGACTACAGAAGTTTTGGTTGGTTGTACTCTGTGCTTCATCCACATTTCAAGCAATCCAATAAAGCTGTGAGCCAGACTACAGAAGTGTGTTTTTGTGATCGTGGTTGCGTCAGATATGCACATACATAACAAAGTGCTTTTATTGGTAGGGAAACAAGTTCAAGTTCAAGTTCCAATTCCAATAATCAGAAAAATGTTGAATATCGGCTCCTATTTTTCACCCTGCCAGTCAGGTTTTTGTTGGCAGAATGAAGCCCAGGAGTTTGTGTTTGGCTCCGTGGGAATGGGCTCCTCATGGGGGGTTGTATAGCCGGGTTGCCATTGTGGGTCCCTCATTTTCTTCCCTTTTTTGGTCCCCGGTTCAAGGTTTTGGAAAATCTCACAGCTAGTTCAGGGGGAACTGCCTCCGTTGGTCTCTCCCCATGGTGAGTGTGGAGAGGGCCTGTTCCAGGGCATCCACTATCTCCCTTGGGTTCATTGGGGCCCATGTGCTAACTGTTTTCCTTTCCTCTTGGGGGAGCCCCTGAAGGAACTTGTCAATAACCATCCGCCGTTAATTGCTCGGGCTGCAGCCACCTTTTGACAATACGCATGAGGTTGTCCATCTGCTGCCGGAAGGTGACCCCTCTTTAAACGGCCATTTATAAAATTCACCAGCTGTGGCATAGGGGGATAGCCCGCACTGAGCTAGGACCTCAGCCTTTACCAGATCATAGTTTCTATCGTTCGCTGGGAATAATTCATAATACACTGGGCCACCCCCGACAAGAAAGGGGCTAGCACTTGGGCACATTCATTCTGCAAGCCCCGTGCCAGCTCCTGGGTGGCTGCCTGTTGGCGAAGGCTAGTTTCTAAAAGGTGTTGCAGCAGGGTATCCATAATCTCCATAAATTACTATTAATTTTGTTTTAAACTGGTGCTTGGGGTGTTCACTGCCTCCATTCTCCACCACTGTGGCGTTGAGCGCTGGAGCAGGGCAGAACAGAACACAACCACACAGAGGCACAGGAATAAGTGCAAAAAAAACCAATGGGATGTATTTATTTACAAAAAGGTGAAGGCAGAGGGGGTGATGGTGGTGAGTTTTGTGAGGGTGCAGGGGTTGTGGCTGGTTGGGCATATGTGAGGGGGATTTTGAGGAATGCGCTCAGAAGAGTGGCGGTGGCAGTAGTTTGTTGCTGGAATCTGGAAAAAAAAGGGGATAAGAGAGACAGTGTTAGTAGTGTGCCAGGAGCTACCTGCCTCTCTCTGTGCATGCCATCTTTTATGCTCACTGGGGAGCTCGGGATTGTGAGAGCAGCTGGGGTAATCATCCTCTGCCAACCGTGTCTCTTTATCAGCTTCCACGCCCCCACCATGTGTGCCTTGGCTGCCCATAATGGTGGTGCTGAATTGGCGCTGTCCGTTCAGCACCACCGTGCTTGTTTGGTGCGGCGGGATCTCCTGCTTGTGATCGGGGTGGGACGGCTGTTGTCACACTACACGATTATTATACATCGTAACTTTGATCCAAAAAGTCCAAAGAAATCCTGAGTTTGTTAAGCACACTATAAATTTCAGTGCTTAGGGTAATACCTTTGTATTGCAGACTTTTAAAAGCATCTTTCATGACATTCAACACAAATCTTAGCTTTCTATGCTAAGACTTCTACCAAGCATGGCTGCTGAATGATAAAAGTCACTCTGAACTCCTGAACTGAACTGTAAATAAGTTAATAACTTATTAGAGCAGATCACAGTGTTCTGTCCCTGACGTAACTGAGCTACACTCACTATCAACACTGTTCTCAAGGCCATGGTTTAAACACACTACTGGACTGGAGAACTTAGGAGAAGGTGTTTTAACCTCAGCGTGTAATTCTTTCCATTTTTTACACGTCCAGAACCAATAGCCTAAAGAAAGACAGGAATACGAGCATTTCCACCATCCCATTTCAATATAATTCTTTTACTAATGTCAACATAGCTGACAATTTCACTTTTCAGCTCTGAAAATGTCTCAAAAGTGTCTCAAAGCAGGAGAGAGCACCAGTAAAGAAAACAGCATATTTAATCACTTTTTTAAAGTTATCATCACAATTAGCATTATTTGTGAAGTGTTATCTTCGATACCTCAATGTAGTCCTATTAAATCTTTTTAGGCCAGACTCTTTGTCCTTTTCTCTTCTTTCAATCAAAACCAAGAGAGTAGATTTGACCATTTCTGGCCAAAATTTTTCAGTGGCATCCATAATAAATATTGCTAACTGATGCTAACTCTGTACTTGTCTAATGTTAGCTACATCAAACATACATTTTATTTCACATTAATTTTTCTCCATTTACCTTGATAGGAAATGAAGATACCCCATGAGACTAGTTGATAGCATGTGAGATAGGTGGAAGGGGGTTGGGCTTCTAGGCAATGTACAAAATACCAGCACAAATCATTTCATATTCATTGGTCGATTGGCCCATCTTCTGTTTTACTGGGGGAAAAAGTCTGCTCTTTTGGCATATTTTTGAGTGATAACTTGGAATAGTGATTTTAAATTTCGGAGCTCCTACCCAAAATTTGTAAGGTTGATAGGTCTTCTAATATAATGTAGTTGGATTAAACGTCACTGGATACTGTAGATCTGGATATGGTAAAATCATTATTTCACACAAGCCTAGGGAAAAATTCTAAATGAAACTATGACAACTGTGGGAATGTGACATTTGTACACTATTTGGCCAAAAGTATGCGGACACCTGGCCATTACACCCATATGTGCTTGTTGCATATCCCATTCTAAAACCATGGGCATTAATATGGAGTTGCCCTCCCCCTTGCTGTTATAACAACCTCCACTCTTCTTGGAAGGCTTTCCACTAGATTTTGGAGCGTGGCCACAAGAACATTGATGACATCAGGCATTGTTGTTCGGCAAGGAGGCCTGGGGTGTAGTTGGCGTTCCAGTTCATCACAAAGGTGTTCAGTGGGGTTGAGGTCAGGGCTCTGAGCAG